TTATTATTATTATTATTATTATTATTATTATTATTATTATTATTATTATTATTATTATTATTATTATTATTATCATTATCATTATTATTATATTATTTTGCTGTCGTTTTATATCTATATTTTTATTTCTTTAATTTATTTTTTGTCACTTCTTAATTTGCAACTTTTATTCCTCAGTTGCTTTTTATTTATTTGCTGGTCGTTTGAAACAAAAATAAAAAACAAATAAAACAAATAATAAATAATAAATTAATTTACAAATGAATAATTAAGTTGAATTCAACTTACAAATAATAAAATTAAATAAATAAGTAGAAAGAAATAAATGATTTCGACAGTCTTTTCATGTTTCTTTTTTTTCATTTTTAAATCTTTTTGTTTTATTTCTTTTTTATTGTTTTCTTTTTCTTTTATTTATTTATTTATTTCGTTTTTAGTTCCTTAAAAAATAAAATGTTTTAAAAACTACGAGCAGCAATCTACTGCAGCAAAAGTTTGACTTCGTCTTTTTTTTTATTTTTGAATTCCAACTTTTTGTCATTTGTCCCAAGTTCTTCTTTTCTTTTTTTAAAAGTCTTTTTCTTTCTTTTGTTCCTTTAAAAGTCTTTTATGTTTTTCTTTTTTGCGAAATAATTTAAAAACTTTTTCTCAAAAAGTTTTTTAATTATTTCTTTTTATTCTTTTAAATTAAAAATTCATTTTATGAAATTTAAACTGCTCAAAAAGGACTTATGGGGCTCTGCGCTTTTTCGTTTCTTCTTCAAGATCCGTAAACAACTAAATGATTTCTAATTAATTATTTAATTAAATTAAATTAAATTAAATTAAATTAAATTAAAGATTTATCTATATTTATTTATTTATTTATTTCCTATTTATTATTTATTTGGCCTCTTTTTGCGTTTTTTGCGAATGCGAAGTGTCAAGCGAGGGTCGAGTTTGAGGTGTACGTACACCTGAGCGAGTTGAAAAGTTGCTGCAGCAGCAGCAGCAGCAGCAGCAACTTTTCAGCTCGCTGTTGCTGCTGCTGCAGCAGCAGCGCAGAAGCCGATAAATATAATTGAACAAAAAAGTGGAAAAAGAAATAAATTAAATAATTAAAAAGATATTTTGAAGATTATATTCCACAAAAGAAAGGGTGGCTGCTCGGCGGGCAGCAGAAGGGCAAACAAATAAAAAAAAACAAACTTTTAACTTTCAACTGTTGCCGTTTTGCTGCTGCTGCATGCTTTGCTGCTGCTGCGCGCTTTGCTGCTGCTGCTGCTGCTGCTGCTGCTGCTGCTGCTGCTGCTGCTGCATGCGTTCTACAGTTTCTTTGGAAAGAGAAATCCATATTTCATTTCTCCGGAAGAAAGGCAAACAAAAAGGAGAATTATAAATGGCGAGAGAAAACTTCGCAGGTTTATTCGAAGCTGCATCATTGATGAGTCCCTCTTTAATTTGCTGCAAGATCTCCTCGTCGCTGCAGCTGCTGCTGCTGCAGCTGCTGCTCCCGCTGCTGCTGCTGCTGCTGCTGCTGCTGCTGCTCGTCGTGACCAGCTGGTCCCGCAGCAAAGCCCTTGTCACGTGCAGCAACTGAGGCCTCACTGACAAATCTTCAAAAGGATTTAAATCCAAATTTATGGAGCCGGAAAAGCGGCGAGCTGCAACAAAGCGCTCCTGAGCTGTATCGACAGACACCGCGGGAGAGGTGGGGGAAGGCATGGAGGCAGCAGAGGCCACCTGAGCCGCCAAATGCACAAAACTGGACGAAATAATTCCAAAAATATGTTTAAAATAATTAATTATAACTTATAATTAAACTGTTTGCTCATTTGTTTCAAGTTTCAGCAAAAAATCCGGAAAAAAATCCCGCGTTTGCGGTGTATGTACACCTCAAGTTCGCGCACTGCACCTGCAAAAAGTGCAAAACTTTTTGAATTTCGGGGATTTAATTTATTTTATTTGTTTATTTGAATTTATTTGTTTATTTGAATTATATTTTTGTTTTTATTTTGCTTTTTGTGTACCTCTTTTGGGGAAAAGAAACGCATGACTTTGAATTCTCCCTTTTCCATAATGCACTCCACCGGAGTGGTCATGGCCAGCTTTTGCGCTGCAGCGGCATTGGGGGAATAAAGAGTCCTTTTGGTTGAATTAATTAAATTAATTATCATTTTTATTTATTTTAATTTAAAAGAATTAAAAAGCAATTCAGTTTATCTTTTAATCCTTTAGAATTCAACTAGTTGAGCTGCTGCGCAGTTGAACTGCTGCTGCTTGCTGCTGCAGCTGCTGCAGCAGCAAAAAGAACTTTGAATTATTTTCTTTGAACTCTTTGAACTGCAATTAAACTTTTTTTGCAATCTAAATGAATTTAAAGCTCCATTTGCTTTCTAAGGAAGTTTAATTGTCATTAAAAAGCAAACAGAGCTTCAAATGCCATTTAAATTGCAAAAAAAACTTCAAATTTTTTTCAAAATTCACTTATTTCCCTCTTACCCTCTCGGTTCTGCGGAGCGTCAAAAGCCCCTATGTAATCCGCCAAAGCGAAAAAGGTCTTCTTCGAATTTTCTTGCCACGGAGTCTGGCCACAAATAAACAATAATAGCAATAATAATAATAATAATAATAATAATAATAATAATAATAATAATAATAATAATAATAATAATAATAATAATAATAATAATAATAAATGTAATAATGGCAATAACGGTAATGGCAGCAGTGGCAGAAAAGGGGGAGTGGCGCAGCTGAGGTGTACAGACACCTCAGCTATGGGGTGGGGAAGGTAATGGCGAATTTCAAAAG